AAATTTTATTCTGTGATTCACTTAGAAAAAAACCAAAACTACACTCAAATTGTTATATGTGAATGTACACCATGGTCAGGCCACTAGAAGGAATGCAGGTAGCATCTGGAAGATTTATTTGTCACAAAGTGATTCAGAAAACCAAAAGAGGTGATTGCCTAATTTAGTACCCAACGTTATTCTACACAGAATTAACCTATTTTCAATTTCACCTCTGTAGTGTTTGTATTTTAAACATCTGTCAAATTCTTTGATATTCTGGAAAGAAGAAGCATAACCCTGTTTCAAAATGTGCTGCCTTAAAATGAGGCTGAAAAAGAGATAAAGTGAAAGAAACTTAAAAAATGAATAATTACTGGAAATTATTATAGAAATAAATGAGAAAGATACAAATACTGTTACATTTTTTACTTGAGAATAAAAATAAGTTGCTTAGAGCTTCTTAAGATTAACAAATCATAAAATAGATAATGTGTTCTGTATAATAAGTAAAACACTGGATTAAAGTATTTTAAGCAATTTAGTAAAGTAATTCTGGATCTGAAACAAAAAGGCAATTATAGAATAAAACTTTTTTTTCCATTAACAAAAATAATACTTTAAGGCTAAAACTAAAAGGTTCTAAACAAAATCTTGTCAATATCTCTTTATAATATTAATAAGTTCAAGGCCATGTTTACTGAAAAAATTTTGGCAAGATAAACTTGCACAATTAAAATAAATATAATGTCATGTGATTTGGTTTCCCAAAGCCTGGAATTTTGACCTTAACTGAAGTCTTCCGAATTCCAATGCTATAAATAACTACTATAGCTGAACAAGATATTAAACTATTAATTCTCACAGACTGTGACTGTGTCTTTTCAATGTGCATATCCCATACAAGTATTTGATATAAGCTTATTCACTTGATAAACATTTATTGCCTATCTATCAGGGTTATGCTCCATAGCAGGCAATCTATATATATAAAAGCCTAAGCAACCATCATAACCGAAACGACCGAACAGGCTGCGTGGGGCGACCAGGCCGGGAGGGGACTTAGTAAGGGGTGACCAGATGACTGAACAGGGGCCTGCGTGGGGCGACCGGGCGGCAGGGGCAGTGACTGGATAGGGTACAGGCTGGGCTGAGAGGACCCCTTCCCCTGTGCACGAATTACAAGCACCGGGTCTCCAGTGATGATATAAAGGTGGTTGAGACCAACACCAGACCTCTCCTTAAAGGGCTAAGACAAGCAGAAAAGACAGACAATTAAAAAATAACTACAAAAAGTCATCATCTTAGAGTATATGGTAGAGTTGGGGAAGGCCTTCTGAAGTTCAGAGGCAATGTCTTTAAAAACCTTCAAGGCTGTGGTAATAGAACAGTAGGTATGTAGGTTACTGCTGCACATTGTCACCCGTTAAATCAGTCTCATAACACACACAGGGTAATTTATATGCTAGGCTGTGTTCAATATAATATACCGTTTAATTAAAAGAGGCTTTATAAATCAAGGGCTCTTGCTATAGTTTTAAACATCAAAAGGAAACATTTCTATCAATTCAGGAAAATCAAATAAGCATAATAAATGAAGTGGCAACACAGGTTTAAAATACTTCTGAAAAAAAATGGCAGACTGACCTGGTGAGTTTCTTTCAACCTCTTCCTCCCAAAACCACATTAAAATCACAATAAAATACTTTTAAAAGGTATAAACATACAGAAACTAGGACAGAGAAAAGGACTGGAGACCAAAACACTCAAGAGAATTCATTAATTTTTTTATGAACTTGAAGAGATGGGGGAAAGGTAGTTGACCAGAGGGGCCGAGGCACATCCTGGGTGCCACGGAGGAGGACACCAAACAGAAGTAAGCTAATTTGGAGTACAGATCCCAGAAAGGACAAGGCCTTCAGAACACAAGGAACTGTGTTGGCAGAGAAAGTTGAGAGGCTGAAAACAGAGGATAACAACATGTAAGTACATCACAGGATATTCCCCCAACACGTGTTCTCACACATACATGCAATGTGCTGTGTGTGCATCGAGGGTCCTGCCCCTCCCACCTCTCCCATTCTTCGGAGAAACTCAATGAGACCAGAGAAAAATGTCTATAAGATACTGGGATGCGGATGCCATTCTAATGAAAGGCCCAGGTCACCAAATAAAAAGCCATGTTCCTGTAAAAAGAGCTGAGTGGCCTCAAATATAGATAGGCAACAACCACAGACATGTGGAGGAAGCCTCAAAATGACAGTGAAAGCACTAAGTAAAACATAAAAAAGAGATAACACAATGCATGGAGAAGACAACTTAAAAACAAAACTATAATTCATATCCTTATAGTAAAAAGAGACATGTAGCAGCCGTAAAACAAAATAGATCTCGGTAACACAGGAACATCAGGGAACAGAGAATAGTTCTTTGAGCTAAAAAATTTGGATAACTGAGATAAAACATTCACTAGAAAGGCTAGAAGATAAAGTTATCTCTGGAGATAAAGATGTCTCCCACAAAAGCAAACCAACAGAAAGATGAAGTAGTTGGAACAAAAGAAAGAGTAGAATTAGATTAGGATCTGTCAGAATTAATAGAGGTTTCAAAGAAACCAGAAAATAGAAACAGAAAATGAAAACAGAAAATGGAGAAAATTGTCAAAGAAATAATACAAGAAAAATATACAGGCCCAGCCGGAATGGCTCAGTGGTTGAGTATCAACCTATAAACCAGGAGGTCAGGGTTGGATTCCAGATCAGGCCATATGTCCAGGTTGCAAGGTGGATCCCGTGTGGAACTCCCAGGAGGCAGCCAATCAATGGTTCTCTCTCATCATTGATGTTTCTATGTCTTTCTCTCCTTCTTTCTTCTTCTCTGAAAACCAATAAAAATCTGTTTTTAAAAAAGTATACAGAACTTTCAGACCAGAATTTCCATACTGAAAGGGCCCTGAAGTACCTCTTACAATAAATGAAAAAATGCCCATACCAGTGGTCATTGTTGTGAAGCTTTTAAACACTAGGATAAAGAGAAGATTATAAAAGTTTTCAGAGGAGGAAAAAAGGTCAAATATCAAAGGTATAATGATCAGAATGTACAATTAGAAACTTGGGAAGGGTAAGATACAGGACTTGAGTATTATCTGACTTCTAAAACAATGTATAGGTACTTTCATTAACAATAAACAATAGTAACATAAGCAAATAGAGTCATAAAATAAATAAGTAAAAAAAATAAACAAATTGATTGAATGCTCACTAAGTGCGAGGGGTACCATTCTTTTTAAAAATGTATTCTCATTTAACTCTCATAACAGTATGAGAAAGACACTGTCAACCTCCTTTTGCAGGCTTTGAGAAGTTGAGTAACGATACAACCAGTAAGTCATGAACTCAGAGTCCTGGCTTTCTGAGTTTGGTCTTTTAAATGAAAACTACATGATCCTGTTTCTCAACTTTAAAAGTAAAGTTTATATTTTTTTTAAAGAAGAAAAAAAAAATACTTGATGTTTCCTACATTCCTATTCTGTTCCCAGATCAACTGTGGTTGATTAAAAGTTCTGTCTCTGTCCATCAGAACACAAGTTTAATGTAATATATACATTGAGTGGCCAGATTATTATTTTCTGAATGCATGATAATCTGGCCCCTCAGTGTATATTCTATATAATAAAAGGCTAATATGCAAATTGTCCCCTTGACCAGGAGTTCGACCAGCAGGCAAGCTGGCCAATCGTCCATGTCCCCTCCCCTTGGCCAGGCTGGCCGGATCCCATCCATGCATGAATTCATGCACCGGGCCTCTAAAATACACACACACACACACACACACACACACACACTGAGTGGCGAGATTATTATGCGTTTAAAGATCATAATAATTTGGCCACTCAGTGTATATGTGTGTGGGGTTTGGAGGATGTAGGTTGAAGTATTTTCTAGTATTTTAAATATTCATTGGATTAACACACTTTATGCTAAGAACTTGTGATCTGCTGCTAGAAGGACAATAGATTCCTTGATCTAAATGCATTAACAATCTCCACCAAAGGAAATGACACACCTACAGCATCAGATCGCCACCGTGTATCCTGTGCAAAGAATAAAGGGATTATACATTTCATTAAAAACAGTTGCCTGTTTTCTAAATTATTGCCATCTGAGCCCTTCACACTCCTCTAGTCCTGCAGGGAAAATATCCCTGGCGATTTTCCTAGCCAGCTACATGACTGTTAAGAATACTGATGTAACAAAAACATCATGTGCCTGCTCTCATTCTTGCCTGTCACTCATCTTTACCTTATATGAAGGACTAATGATACTTGAACATTATCCTCATTTAGTTCCCGCTTTTGCTGTCCTATTCATCCATCTCCTCCCTTATTGTCCCTATTTAAGAGATTCTATCTTGGGAAAGGGGCAGAATGGATGGGTTAGATTCTTGAAGAGGTGTGTGTGTGTGTGTGTGTGTGTGTGTGTGTGTGTGTATTTCCCCCCCAACCTTCCTTCTTTCTGACCTGAAACACCGAAGTTCCAGTTTTGGGCATTTGGTCCTTTGCGGCTGATAAACAATGATGTCTTTTCGGACCTCGCAGCCTGCACTGCCCGGGGCCTCCTGGGACCTCCTGGACCATTCGCTGTGGCCAGCCCAGCCCAGCCAGTGAGTTCCTTCCGCTCACACAGGCCACCCCTCTGCTTTCTGCCTGCCATGACCTTGATTTTTGTTTGTTTTGTCCTGGTTTGGGGTTTCCCTTGGTACGCTGTCGCTGCAGCAACCCTCAAGCTTCCCAACCATCAGTGACAGCACCGTGGAAGCCTTGGCGACATCTGAATGAACACGAACCCGGGGCTGTCCGGCCTGGAGGGGGTCGGTCGGTCTTGGTGGCGGGAGGTCTGTGCAGAGCTCACACGCAACCACCTCCCCGGCTGGGGTCGCGGGGTCGCGGGGGCCCAGGCCCGGTCGCACCGGCCCACCTGGCGGGCGGACGTCACCTGCGGCGCCCGCGCACGCGCACCTACCGTCTCCTTGGCCGCGGCCACCGGGATGGGCAGCAGCGCCCGGCCGCGCGGCGGCTCCTCCGGCTCCAGAGCGGGCCCCCCGGGGGCCGGCGCCGCCCGCGCCCAGTCGGGCCGGGGGTCCCCGTACAGCTGGTAGCACACGAGGCCCACCAGCCCCCCGCCGGCCGCCGCCGCGAAGCTCAGCTCCCCCCAGCGCCGCCGCCGCCGCCACGCCGCCTCCGCCACGGCCCCGTCCTCCTCCTCCCCCCGGCAGGGCGCGGGCCGGCCGGGAGGGCCCGCGGCCGTGCCCACCGGCCGCCCCCACGGCCCGGGGAGCGGGTGGTGCGGGGCGGGCGCCGGCGGGAGCCGAGGCGGCGGCCACAGGAGCCTCCGCAGCGCAGCCATAACGGAGCCGCCGGCCCCGGGCTGGAGGGGGCGGGAGTGGGGGGTGAGGGGGGAAAGCGTGTGGGGGAAATCTCGCGAGAAGTGGGAGCGTGGAGGCGCGCTCGGGGCGAGAGCCGCTCCTGGGAGCGCGAGGTCCGCCTGGGGGACCCCGGGCAGGTGTCCGCGGCGGGGGCGCGGGGTCTCCCGCCAGGGGCGGGGAGAGCCTGGAGGGGAGAGCCTGGGGGGCAGGCCAGCCCCGCGGACACGGCCCTGTGCGCGCCCGCCCGGCGGCGCCTGTCGCGGGACCAGCCCCGCGGCGGCGGCCAGGCCAGCGGGGCCGGAGGGGCCTGGCTCCGCGGTGCCGGGCGCCCTCCGCTCACCGCGCCCTCGCCTCCGCCTGGCCGGGGTCCTGGGCCACTAGCAGCGCCGCTCTGAGAAAGCCTAGTCCCCTAGCGGTCTCCTCATCTTGTCTGGAATCATTTGCGGTTGTATCTGGAGTCCGACAAAGATGAAGTCATGAAAATGGCAAATTACTTCGAAGGGGGTTTTGAATACACATTGAAAGCTCCTGGACTTTGGAAGGGGGAAAGCTAATGCTGCTTTTTCCTTTCCTTTTTTAGTTACCATTAAAAAATTATATATATATATATATATATATATATATATATATATATATATATATATATATATATATATATATTTGAAACCAATACCATGCCTGAGATCACTTAATTCATCAAATTAGAACTGTCTTGAGAAATACTACCCTTAATTTTGGAGGGAAGCTGTTGGTTTAAATATAAAGAGTTGATGTGTATTGTGGCATCTTTATTCTTGTTGTTCTACTTGTTGGTTACACTGTCCGTGTCACTTCTGTGAGAGACACCAGAGGTCTGGAACTCAATCTCCAGAGCCCAGAGCTACGGAAACCATGTTACTGAGGCACTGAGGATCCCTTTTCCATTTTCATTGTCTCCCCTTCCCAGGGACGGTTGACAGTGGTTTGCACCCTGCCCCTTTCCCTTCGTCAAACTAATCTATATCTAAGCTCCAAGAAGTCAGAGCTGCTTAGTATTTATTTGGCCCAGTTCCTGGCACATAGTAGGGCCTCAATAAATGTTTATTAAATGGAGAGAGGAGTTTATTACTGTGCGGGGGTTGGGGGGGGGGGAGGCCAAGATAGAAATGGCAAAGCAGAAGATAAACAAATATAAAGCAGCTCGTCAGGCACTAAAGGAGATGATACACCAAGCAGCACATCTGGAAACAAAACGAATGCAAATGGAAGGCCCAAAGGAGAAAGCCACTGAGTTGGTAAGAAAGGATCAGAGAGTGTGGTCGTGGAGATGGATCCATTCAGGAAAAAATGTGATTTTGTTACTTGAACCCAATCTTACATGTTGTACTTTGGCATGGTCCTGCTGGACTGAGAGCAATAGGCTTCCACCAGGCTCTTCCAAGCCTCTGAGGAATGCCAGCATGATCCATGGCCAAAGGTCAGCAACTTGACCTTGACAGCTCCCTTTTTGTTCTTACAGTCTCACTAGTGACAACAACCAAGCTGCCAGTTGTGTACATTTAACTATCTGACTTCAAGACCAGCAACAATCTGACCAGTTGGACTTCTACAACTAATGAGTTTATACTATCATTTCCAGGGCCTTTGCTGACAGTGTCTCTCTGTTTAATTCTTACTGTTGTCTTTGTCCTCCATTTAGTGGCAGGAACCTCTGATCTTACATACTTGGGAAACAAGGAATAGCAGCTCAGACTTGATACTAAGTTCAGCTTCCTGTCTAACAAGTGAGCCCTTTTTCAATTGTTATATCCTTTTTTTTTTTTTTCATGCCTGATAGCAATTCAAGTGTCTATGCCCATTAAAAGCTGTTTTCTGGTGAAGAATAGCTTCAGAGTAATATAGTGATCATCTTTTATGCAAGAATAGCACTAGGGTAGCAAAAACAATCTAATAATGTAACTGAACATAAACATACAGTATGACCCATCAATTTTCACTCCCATTTTTTACTCATAAAAAAATGATTACTTTATGCACACCAAAAGACATGGAGAAATATTTGTAATTGGCCCCAAACTAGAAAGTATTCACATGTTGACCAACAGTGGTATGGATTTTGTGTGTGTGTGTGTGTGTGTGTGTGTGTGGTACATTCATATAGTTGAATGCTATATAGCAAGAAAATTACTGAAGTGCAGCTCTTACATATTTGGGAAATCATGTGAGTAAATTTCACAAGCAGAAAATTGTGATCATGTGAGTAAATTTCACAAACAGAAAATTGAGTTAAAGAAGGCAAACATAAAAGAACCACCTGTATTATATTTTTAAAATGAAAATGACACATACATATTTATATTCAGAAATACAGTGTTTTTTTGGGTAGAGGATAGTGCCTGAAGGGGAGAAAGAAGGGTTCTGGAGCTCTGCTCATGTTCTGTTTCTTGATTTGCGTACCAAGGAGACAAGTGTATTCACTCTGGAAAAACTCACAAATCCCTTTTCATGTATGTTATACTTCAATAAAAAGCTTATATAAAATAAAAAATAGAATTTCTTTCTAGTGCTCTTAGGCTATGTTCTTTACTAGAGGACTTGCTGAGTTCTGAACTGAACAACTTAGAAGGAATGTATAGAACTTGTGAAGAGTTAAGAGTGAAAAATGGAACAGTTGGAAACGAATGGAAAAGATAGATAATCTTGTTATAGTTTTGAATGATTTAACCAAGGGGCATCTTAATAAAAGTCTTTTGGTACCTAAACACCCTTCAGAAGATGCTCATTAGCTATTTTCCTTATTTACTAAGGAAAAGCCAAAAGGAACGTCATATTTTACGCAACCACCCAGTGTGTTATCTTCTTTGAGTTGTAGTACTTTCTCCTGTAATGTCCATATGGCTAGACTCGGTAGGTACCTAATAGTAAGGCCTAGTGCAACCAGTATACACCCTTGTCTTTGGCTCTAACCCCAGGTTGTCAGGTGTTAGATGAGAAATTGCTTTAAGGGCAGTTAACCGAACAGAAGGGCAGCCTTCAGAACAGATGGACAGCTCAGCACCAAGAGGAGAAATCAAGCATAGCATAAGGTTAAGTCAGTGAACATACTGCATGAAGCTTAGTGGGATGGCAAACCAGCAACTCCAATTGATTGGTATTGGTTACCCAGAATACTGTGATGAACACATTTTTCAGATTGGGTCCAGAATGCATAGGAAAATACCTTGGTGGATGAATTATATCTGCTAAGAGCAGGCTATTCAACTGAGCTGAGCTGCATTGTTGAGCCACCATAGTTCTTTTTGGGATTTTTTTTTTCAATTCTTCAATTAGAGAAGGCACTGCAAATAATTGTAGGAACAGATAAATTAAAAAATATTTAAATTTTCTGTAGTATACATGTGAACATTTTGTATTTACCCTGTAAAAATAGAAAGAATTTAGAGATAACTAAGTCTGAAAAAATTTTAACCTTTTAAAGGTTTTGTTTTTTTGTGAAGTGGGGAGTCTTTAGTGAAAACTGTCAAAAGAAATCTTGAGCTACAAATGGCAAAAATTTACCTATCTTTTAATCAAGAAAGAGGTTTAACAACATCCCTTCCCTTCTGGGGTTAATTGGTTTCAATCAACCTATATACAGACATTAATATTAATTACTTTTACTCTTTCCAAATAATTATATTTATTTTTCCAAAGACTTAAGAGTTCAAAACAAATCATCTCAAGCTTGGACAGAAATAACTGACTATCCAGAGCCAGTGGAGACTTGAGCTGAGTCTACAGGGAGCCAGTCAAAAAATGTGCCTTTATCAGCTGGTAACCAACAGGAACCAGCTCTCATTGGATACTGCCAGCTAATTAAGTGTTGCTTTATGCTAATGCTGACTTTTAAGTTTGATTAAACTATATTATTTCAAATTTACAACACAATGATATAATACATCTAAACAATACCGAAATTTATTACACTTAAAAGTTATATCTTGTCCACAGCAAAGTAGTCATTCTTAAGGCAAAGTAATAAATCAGGTGATTTAGATCACTGTGCAATGTCTTTTTCTGTTAAAATAAATCAGCTTGCCTCAAACACTAGAGACTGATCTGAAACCGAAAAGTCTGAGGTATGGGCTTTCATAAATTCCTTGGCAACTGAAGCATATCAAAACTCGTCTGCACTTTGGAAATGATTGTAATTTTTCTCAAGTTTGTCTCAAATCTTATGTTCAGGAACCTGTAAACCTCAGACCACCACATCAAGGGGAATGAAGTGAACCTTTCACTGATGATAAGACTTTACAAAAAAAACCCCACTAAGTGAGCTACTCTCACATCGTCATGCAGGTGCACAGGTCTCCTTGAACAAATTATTCCAGAATAAGGAGTCTGTTCCTTCATCCTTGCAGTGCTATACAAGGAAACCATGTCTGATTAGGATTTTGCTACGTGTAGTATTTGTTTCAGGGCATATGCTGTGATCAAAATCTATGTACTAGCGGCCTGTGCCCTATATCTAGAATTAATTATTGAACTCTTGGCTATGGCTAAATATATTACATGGACTTACTTTTTAAACAACTGAGCGAGGAACTGAGCAAGTCCTCTAGTGCCTACCTATTTCCTGGGAAGAATGTGTCCACAAAGTGATTTTTAAATAAAGAGGAGCACTGAACAATGATAAAACCAATATTTGAAATTCGAGATCTTTATCCAAACCAGGTGCTCTCTCAGACTGAAAATAAATCAAATGAAGAAGGAGGAGCTAAACATTAGAGTAACTGGTCATTTTAAGTCTTTTACAAGTGGAAACAAATGAGAAGGTAATTTCAGAAAACTCTGTGAATGTGCTTTTGTTCTTATTTCCAGTCTGTAGATGAAAATTAAATGTTTTCATAATCCACTTTGATAATTATGAAAAACTGATATGCATTCTACTGGACCAGGCAATGAGGCAGAGATATGAAACAAAGGTTTGGGACAGAGGTCTTAAAGGTGATAACTGACTACTCTGTGGCTTTATATGGAACTTTATTTGGGGTTTTATGTGAAATTAGTAAAAAATACCATACTTTGAAAAATAGTTTACATATGCTATAAGTGGGTTATGTTAGAGAAAAAATTATAAATTACACAGCATTTACATAATAATGGGAACTTGTAGGTACAGCTACAGAAATATTGTGTCATGTTTAAGAGAACTTCAGATGTTGGAAGCTCATGTATACATAAACATATTTTTATATTTGCTTTTACAAAATATCACTATTTGAGTGTCATCCTTAGAATCTTCCTTATCTTTGTTAAAGTCCTGGTTTTAAGGGAAGGAGAATTTAAATAATTTGAAGACAGAGGTTTGTGAGCAAAGTTACTTAATTCTATTTTCCAACTCAATTTTACCTGAAATTTGGGTAGAACATCATAAAATGTGAGGTTGAATGGGACCATGGAGATAATTGAGTCTGAGGCTTGTATCTTAGAGCAGAGGAAAGTGAGTGAATGGTGCCTTCCCAGGAGATATTTCCTGACCTAGCCATTGTCTGCTCTCCCTTCCCTCCCTGGCACTCCCTAATGGGACTCTGCTGAGATGGAACTTCTTCCAAAATGCTCACACCACCCCAGCCTGGTTTAGTCTACCCTGCTACCTGCTTTTAGGACTTATTTTGAATTCCCTATCATAGCACCACTACTAGGGCTCTCCTCTCCTTGTTTCTATCTGCCAAATAGTGGTAAGCAGCAGGAAGATAGAGATTGTGTTTTGCCTTTTAACAAACACAGACAGACCTGTTCTATAGTAAGAAGTCACACATTTTTTGACTGAGAGACAAATATTTGTTTTTATAAAATGACTGAGAATCCATGTGAATTTAACATGGGTATAAGTTCAGAAGGATAAAGTGATGAGTTGAATTATTGTTCAAAATTCAGACATCCAAGCCAATAAACTGCTAGGTTAAAATGACTGCCCTGAAAAAGATATTTTTTTTCAATAGTTTCAGCTCATTGGAAATATCTGTAATTTACTATACTGATGACTTTGAGGAAATACTGGTGGATCTGAGTTTACCGAGCTCACTCCTAAAAGGTTGCTGTCTGAAACTTTCTTCTCTTATTAAAAAAAAAAAAAAAAAAAAAAATCCACAAAGAGGTTATTTGCTGTTGTGATCATGTCTTTTTGTTGCCAATTCTGGTACCTGCTGAGTTATACATTTCTCAAAGAACTGCTCTTTGTTTTGTGACAACAAGGTACCCCGAATCCAGTTCCTTGCTACTTCTTGTACTTGACTTAGCTCCTTGTCCTTGAACGCAGTTCACAACTTCACTGCCAGCTAGAAACTTATAGCCCAGTTCACAGGAATAGCTGGAGTCAAATATTTTCAGCGTCAACACTTTCAAGGTGTCCTGACAGCTGCACAAAATCTGCTGAGCTGTATTTCATTCCCCTTGGGATTATCGACATTTTTGCAGTTCTTCTGACTTTTATCTTTGCCAATGACCTACTCATTATCATTGGGCTATTATCCTGCTTTTGTTTTCGGAGCTGAAACTTGCGCAAGGAATTTACCAATGACTTGAAGCTGGAGAAGTGGAACTTGGCTGCATTCCTTCCTATCAAGGTCGCTCTTGGCTTTCTGGGGGCTGGGAGCGGGTGTGCCCACACCGTCCCCTAGTGGCTGTCCTTTCTCTCAGTGCGCGGAGTGTATGCCCAGGAGTTCTTAATTTTTAAGATGAAGGATACTTTGCCCAGCGTGCATGCGTTTTCTAACAGTCAAATTAAAGGTAAGTCTTTGAATATACATTCTATGATTCAGAATCATTCTTTGGGGAAATATAAAAAATAAATATAAAAAACCAAAGCAAGTACTCAGGTTTCTGAAAAATTGTTAGGTGTATGTCAGTCAACCAATAATATTTATCAAGTATAGAAATATGCCAGGCACTGTTGTCAGTGCCTGCTACACATTCATGAACAAAATAGACAAAGATCCCTGCCCTCATGGAGCATACTTTCTTGTATGAGGACTATGCCAAAGAACGTGTTTCTCCTTAGGATAACATTCAAACCAGGCTACAGCAAATGTACAATATTTCAATAACTGCTTTTCTGAACTATTGTACATTATTGACACCTGTTCTTAACATCTACAATGAAATGTGATTGACATTTGTCTTTTCGTCTCTAACCTGTCTTCCGGGCAAGTTGCAAGGTGACTTGAAATACATCACTGGCATAGCTGGTTCTAGCCCCAAGCTGGTACTCACCTTACAAATGCTATCACTTGGCTTCCGTGAACTGACACTTCTCACTCCAGAGTGGGTGAAATTTTCAAGTGGCCTAAACCCCAGAGAAAACTGATAACGATTATTTTCACTGAAGTAATATCTCAGATGCTATAGCACTAATGGGTTTTCATAGGTATTTGGTCATAGGATTCCTACAACATTTCAGCAGGTTGGCTGCAAATGCTTCATTATCCCAGTTGTAAACAGGAAAAACTGAACTCCAAGGAGGCAATGTAGTTTTCCCAAGGGCTCATACCTACTGTGTGGTGATACCTTGCTTGTATCTAGTAAGATGAACAAGGAAAGAAAACAATACAAGGCAAAAATCAGACTGTGTTGTTTATTACTCTTCTTGTTCTTGGTGATGGGTAAAGTGGACAGAAGGACTGCATTAGAGTAGTTGACATTCCTGAAATAAGAAGGTAATAACAACGATGTCCAGTTTGTGTCAAATTTTCATTCTGCTTGATTTTGGTTCCCCAATTTATATGTCTTTATGATCAATTAATATCCACTTTTCACATGTGTTCAACAAGACCCACAGAGAATATACAACTTGTTCTGGTGCAGGTTTGAGATTTGAGCAGACTGGAACTCTCCTATGCAAATGCATAACTCAAATTCTGGAATTCTGATGTATCTCAATTACCTTATGTAATAACTGTTGTGTTTAGATTTTCTCTAGTATAATTAAAGTATTTCTAATATCTAAATTGTGATCTTTTAAATTTTATATTAAAACTTTTATTTTGATATAATTTTATACTTACAGAAAAGTTATAAGAATCGTACAAAGAACTCCACATACCCTTCCAGCACATTCTTCAATTGGTAACACCTCACCTCATCTGCTTTATCATCTATCCTCTCTTTTTCTATATCTAGCTGTGTATACATTTTTTTGAGCCATTTGAGAATAATTTAATAGAAATCATGCCTCTTTATCCAAACATTTTTATTTTGAATTTTTTAAGACTTCCTTATATATTCATGGTAAAATGAACAAAATTAGGAAATTCAACATAGATACAATACTATTATTTAATTCAGAATCTATATTAAAATTTTGTCACTTGTTTCTATAATGTCTCTCATATGGTTTATATTTTTCTGGTTCAGGCTTCAGACCAGAATTATGCATCACCTTTAGTTTTTATGTCTCTTAAGTTTCTTTTAATCAGGAACAGTTCCTTAACTTTTTTCTTTTTCTGTCTTTGTTGATTTTGACAGTTCGTGAGACTATGGGCAAGTTGTTTTGATGAATGTCCTTTAATTGGGGTTTGCTGATGTTTTTTCATGATTAGATTCAGGTTGTGCATTTTGGATGGGAACACGCACAAAAATGACATTGCATCCTTCCTATGGTATCAGGAGGCACATGGTCTTTTTTCTATTGTTGTTTACTTTTATTATTTGGTTAAGATAGTATTTGCTAGATTTAATTCACTATAAAGTTATAATTTTCTCTTGGTGATTAAGAAACAATTTGGAGGAGATATGGAGACTGTATATAGCTTCTTCTTCATCAAACTTTTACCAATTCACTTTATTTATTATTTCTTATTTATTTTATTTTTCTTTTTATAGTTTTAGCATGCATTAATGACTTTGCAGATTAGCAATGATTCTATGATAGATGAAAAATCATCATTTTATAATTCCATCATTCTTTCAGTATTTATTAGTAGGAATCTACCATAAGGAAAAGTGTTCCCTTCTTTACTTACTGTTTTCATTTGTTTGATTGGTTGTTTATTTATTTGAACAGTTGCACTCATAGATTATTATTTTATTCTATGAATATCTTGCTCCTATTATTATTTGGATTAAAGTTATTTATGGCAATGGATAAGCTGAGTCTAAAGTTTATATGGAGAGGCAAAAGACTCAGACTAGCTGGAGTCACTCAGTAGTTGAGCATCCATCGACCTATGAATCAGGAGGTCATGGTTCAATTCCTGGTCAGGGCACATACTTGGATTGTGGGCTTGATCTCCAGTAGGGGGCATACAAGAGGCAATCAATCAATGATTCTCTCTCATCATTGATGTTTCTATCTCTCCCTTTCCCTTTCTCTCTGAAATCAATAAAAAATATATGTATTTTAAAAGACCCAAACTAACCAGTACAATACTGAATGAGAACAAAGTTGTAGGACTGGTAATACTTGACCATAAGACTTACGATAAAGCTATAGCATCAACATACTATGATATTGGTGAAAGAATAGACAAATAAACCAATGGAAGAGAATAAAGATCCTAGACATAGATCCATAGAAATATAGTCAACTGATCATTGAAAAAGGATCAAAGGTCCTTTGGGATACTTTTTCAATAAGTGGTGCTGGAATAATATTGTAGAACATCCACATACAAAAAAATGAATATAGATACAGATCTTACATGTTCACAAAAATTAACTCAAAATGGAACATACACCTACATGTGAGATGCAAAATTATAAAACTCCTAGAAGATAACGTGGGAGAAAACCTAAATGACTTTGGGCATGGTGATGACTTTTTAGTTATAGCACCAAAGACATGATCCATGGAATACAGGGTGGGGCAAAAGTAGGTTTACAGTTGTTTATATTGAAAATAATACAATAATTAATAAATAATACAAGAATAAACTCTGTGTCATGTACTCATAACTGTAAACCTAGTTTTGCCTTGCCCTATGTGTAATTTGCTAAGCTAGAATTCATTAAAACCTTCTGTTCTGCCAAAGTCAAGAGAATGAAAAGACAGCCACAGATGGGGGGGAAATATTTCCAAAAGACACATTTAACAAAGGGCTGTTATCCAAACTCTTCCAATAACTCAAAATTCAACAAAAAGAAAGCAAACAACCCAATGAAAAGACTGGCTAAAGAGCTTTAGAACTACCTCATCAAAGAAGATATCTAGATGGCAAGTAAACATATGAAAAGATGCCCCCACATCATATGTCGTTAAGGAATCACCCATTAAAATGAGATACTACTCAATACACATTAGCACGGTCAACATCCAAAACACAACACCAAAATCCACAACACCAAATAACGGTGAGGATGGGGAGCAATGAGAGCTCTCATTCATTGTTGGTCAGAATGCAAATGGAACAACCACTTTCAAAGATAATTTGGCAGTTTATTACAAAGCTAACCATACTCTTGCCACACAATTCGGCAATCACACTGCTTAGTATTTATCCAACGGTTTTTTACACAAAGACCTGCACATGGAAATTTATAGTTTTATTAATAATCATTAAAACTTGGAAGCAACCAATATGCCCTTCAGCAGGTGAATAAGTAAACTGTGGTACATCCGGACAATAGAATAGTACTGAGTGCTACAAGGTAGTTATTAAGCTGTGCAAAGCCATGGAGAAAACTTAAATGCATATTGCTAAGTGAAAGAAGACAATGTACTGTATGATTCCAACGATATGACATTCTGGAAAAGACAAAACTATGGAGACAGTAAAGAGGGAAGTGGTGCTATGACTTGGGTGGGAGGAAGGATGAATAGGCAGAGCACAGAGGATTTCAAGGCCATGAAAGAATACTATAATGATGGACACATATCATTATGCATTTGTCACAACCCCTAAACTGTACAACACTAAGAGTTAGCTCATATGAACTATGGGCTTTGGTTGATGATGAGTCAATGTAGTTTCATCAATTGTGACAAATGTACTATCTTGATAGGGGATGGGGAAGCTATCAAGTGTGTATCCTCTTATTTGCTGTGAACTTAAAACTGCTCTAAAAAAGTCTTAAAAAGAAAAAGGTGCTCCAGTCCTGAAACCAGATATTTTCCAGGAATTATGGGTCATATTAGCGGTAGATTGAGTTGAGAAACTAAAGATCTAGCACTAGGTGTGCTCAACTGTCTGTGTTGTATCCTTGATACTAGGCCCCTTTGGTTGGCAGAACTAAGATGAAACACACACACACACACACACACACACACACACACACCTCTATGTATTCATACCAATAACTGCAATTTCAATTCACACTATAATATTCATTCTACTCTTCCTTGTTTTCATGTCTATAGCTCCATTTTTTAAAACTGAAACACATAACTTTCATTATTGTCAGTGTATGTAATTATTTGCTCAATCTTACAATATACTAGTCTAACCCCTACCACTGGAAAATTAGTCTTTGTAACTGAAATTCAGTGTTTATTTATGTTTATTTTTCTCTTTAGACCTTAATTATATAGCCAAAGAACTGTATTTGAAAGTTACTTAGTTTTTTAAAATATATATATCATTATTCCATTTTGTGTGGTTATATTATTTATTTGAATTCAGTTAGGTTCATTTGTTTCTGGTCCCATTCCATTTCCCCCTAATTTTTAATATTTTATCCTACTTAAAAATTTTTAATAAACTTTACATTTTTCAAAAAGTCAAAACTCTATAAAAAGCTTCTCAAAGAAGTGTCATTTTCCTTTCTCTTCTTACATTCACCCAGGTAGTCAATTAACCAATTAGTTTCTGGTTTATCCATCTATGTTTAATTTTGGGAATAAATGGACATACACAGGTAGAAGTTTATTATTGTCCTCCTTTCTTACAGAAAAGGTAACATACTGTACATAAAGTATGCTGAAGTTTTGCTCTTTTCATTTAATAATATATCCTGGAAATGCTCCACTTAGTGTAGAGCCATCTTTGTCATTTTCCCCTGGCGGTATAATGCTCCCCTGTGTGAATATATCATAACTTAACCAGTTTCCTATGTAAGGAAATGCATGTTGTTGCCAATATTTTGTAATTACAAGTAAAAATAATGTGAGCCAGGGTACTTTTATTTTATGGGGGTAAAAGTCATGAGTTTTAAATCAGCTCTTTTTTTTTTTTTAAGTTAAACACATATAGAAGTATCAAAAACCATCTTTTTTGATGTGTAAAATGAAGATTCACAGCAATATGCTTGCTGCAAAGCTAGCAGGAAATTCTATGGTCTGGAAAACTGTAACTACGTTTGTGGAAGTAGAAATTGTACCACATATTTGTAGACCAGCAAGGCAAGTGTGGTCTCTAGGAAGTATAGGCAGAGTTGATTAGATTGCAGTGTATACTTAAAAGTTGAATAATGCACTCTTGTAAAACACTCTTCAAAATTATTTAACTTCCCATGATATCATCACAGCATGTGCAAAAAAATCTTTAGTGTTATCTTTTCCTGTCACATGACTAGTGCAAACAAAAGAAATCCTTATCTTTTTGTTTCTATTCTGGCCCTTTATAAAATGGCATTAAGCACCATTCAAAACGTACACATTAAAGGTTTGGTTGGGGGGAAAAAAGACTTATTTTGTATTTCAAAAGAATTGCATTTGTTAAATTATAAAACAGAATATTCCCCAACAACGGAAGGTGTCTAGCATCTTATATGCATGGAAAACTGCACAGTTTTAAAAACACTTTCCTAAATATGTTCACATTTAAGTCTCATAGCAATCCTAGATGTAGTGAACTAGGCAGGAGTCATATTGTTCTTATTGTACAAAAGAGGCAACCGGCCTGAGAGAGCCTAAGGACATTGCCCTGGGTTGTAGGACTAAACCCTGAACTAGAATCTGGGAGGATTTCCCCCCCTTATAATGTGGACTGTGCCTATCTCATAGGATTATTGTGGTGATCAAATACTAGTAAGACAATGCACTGGAAAATACCAACACTGCACAAAGAGAAGGTACTTCTATTATTAAAGTACTTGGGTTTTGGTGACTATGTATAAAATGTCCCCATATTTTTGCATATATAAATAATATAAAAGCAGTCTTAGAGCTATAACTCACACAGCAAGACTTAGAGTGTGAGGAAATGTTTTATAGTATTAAAACATTTCATTTTGTACCAAACTAGTACTCAAGGAACAGGTGATGATGTTATATATCCATGGTGGCATAATTAATAGCATTATATGTTGTGCAGAACTTAGACCTTGAAACAAACCTCATTAAAAGGTACTTGATCTTTGTTTTAAACCTTTAAGTATCTCTTCTTTAAAAGTGATCGATGTATGTACTGGCTATTTTAGTTATCCTGCTATGAGATTCACACAACTTTGATCTAACTTTCTTTGATTTAGCACTGCAATTAAGAAGATTTGGTTCAAAGTAAAAGCTCATTGGTTGGTGTTTTACACTGATGTGATAATGTTTACACAGATGTCCTTTGAAATCTTGATGATGGTGGATTGCAGGGTCCCACCACAAGGCAGACTGCTGTTATTTGAAAGGTAAAACAATATGACATTTACCTGGTACAACCTTTAAAACAGACTTGGCAGCATACATTTCTAAAGTGACTTATCTGTTTATTGTTTTTAGCCAGTGTTTTTGTTTTATTTCATATCTATCAACAGTAAATCACTTGTGTTAAGGACTCTTTTATAATTTGGTGGCACAAGGGTCAGTCCTTGGGGCCACAGTGATGAAAAGGTGTAACTTTACCTACTTTAAAGCACCTGCCAATTAATTAGCAAAAAAACCCCAACCCTTTAGACCAAATAAAATAAAGTGCTCCCATCCATTTGGGCTCCCAGGTTTAGGCTTTTGCTGAGTAGACAATGAAACAAGACTGGAAAACTAATCTTGGTGATGGCCTCAAACTTTTTGCTCAGCGGAAGCATAAATCTCCCAAAAGATGGATTCTCAATGCTTCTGCTGCTGAAAAAAAAAAAAAAAATAGCAATGGGAACATCTTGAATTTAACGAGTGGTCCAAACCCAGAGTTTATAAGTTCAAACGGAGATGCATCCAATTCCTTCACTTCAATGATTTTTCTATTTAATAAATACATATAGGCATTCTTTCCTTTTTTTTTTTTTTACCAGTTACTTTCCATATCTCAAAAACATGTCAAGAATCAACACTGTTTTTATAATGAAAAGTAAACTAAAAATCTAACCTTAAAGAAAACGCAACCAGAACAAAGGCACGTGCTCTTGGTTTGGGAAGGGCCTGGAGCCTCCTCACTAATGACACTATTACAGATCCTCATTTCTATTCGTGGCAAATACAAGGATGAGCAATACCCCTTTCCCGCCTATTTGGATTTACTCACAATCCCCAGATTCAGGATTTATTCTATTATTATATTATATTGATTAAAAGTTCACGATCTTCGCACCCCATGTTACACTGCCACACGCCTATGAGACAATCGTGGCTATCTCGTGTGCTGAGTAAGGATTCACATTGAAGAGGGCCTGGGGAGGGGGATCCCGTGTGTGTTTCTAACCTAACCCTGATTATGTAAAGAAAATCCCCCATCTGAATGATAAAAGAAGAGAGTAATGCTTGTACATTTTATTAGTGTTTTAAAATTAGTGAGTTAAACTGTCAAAGCTTTGATTCTCCTTTCATGTGTGTCTGGGCAGGCCTAAGCCTCGGGAAACACCCTTTTTCCCTTTTCCCTCTCCTACCTTTCTTTGCACCTGTCCACTGCGGGCTCTCCAGGCAGCCCAAGGAGTCCAATTCTCCTCCTCTCCGCTCCTTTCCCCCCCACCCCCCGCTCCCCTCCCCCTCGCCCTCGCCCTCCCAGCCGCCCCTCCCGCCCCGCTCCCCCTGCTCCCTATATACCTGCCAGGCCGGGCCCTGCCAGCAGCCATCCATCACTGCGGAGGAGCTCACTTCAAAGGCAGGGGCGCAGCGGCACCGAGGCTGTTCCCCGGCCGGCCAGCGCGCAGAGGGGCCTTGGCTGCCTCCGGACGCTGCCGCCGGCGCTGGCCGCGTGTGGGGATGCTTGCTGCGGCCGCGCGGACAGAGGACCGTCCGGGGCCCCTCTGGTCACTTCGGAAGCGCTGAGACCTGTTGCGAGGAGGAGGCCGGTTTAGGGTTTCAAACAGAACCTCCCCAGCGCGCCTGAAAGGACCGATTAGCATATGTCAAGAGGACCCGCTTATATACTCGGCGGCGTGTGTGTCTGCGCGCGGGACTGAGTGCTCCGATCGGCGCAGCGGCCGCAGCTCCGGATGCTTCTGCGGAGCCGGCCCGCTCCCACCTGCCCGCGGAGAGAAGATCGCCCCGGGACCTGGACCGCGCACAGTGCCCCCCGCCGCCTCCCAGGAGTAGCCGGGGATTGACCTTTCGCGCTCCCTCCGTTCGCCGTCCTCCTTCTGCACCCGCCGCCCGCCCCGGCTGCGCTTCCTATCGGGGAGGTTCCGCATTCGCCTCTCCCGCCCACCCCTCCCTCCATGGCGCCCTTGGCCGAGGTGGGGGGCGTGCTGGGGGGCCTGGAGGGCCTGGGCCAGCAGGTGGGCTCGCACTTCCTGCTGCCCCCCGCCGGGGAGCGGCCGCCGCTGGGCGAGCGGCGGGGCGGCGAGCGGGGCGCCCGCGGGCCGGGCGCGGCGGAGCTGGCGCACCTGCACGGCATCCTGCGCCGCCGGCAGCTCTACTGCCGCACCGGCTTCCACCTGCAGATCCTGCCCGACGGCAGCGTGCGGGGCACCCGGCAGGACCACAGCCTCTTCGGTAGGTACCTGCGCCCCGCCCCGCTCCTCCTCCTCTCCACGCCCCGGGGCCGCCTCCCTCCTCCCCAGCCCGCGGGGAGACCAGGTTGGCGGGCGGGGCTCAGGGAGCAGCGGGGACCCCGAGGACTTGTCCTCTGACTGAGGTGAGCCCGGCGGCTCCGGATGCAGGGAGGGGGGGGGAGGGGGAGGAAAAAAGGGATGAGGGTCCACACGCGCTTTACTTCCCAGTCCTTCTGCCGCCTGGGATCTTCCTACCACCACCTACCTGGAAGGCAGTGTTTTGTTTGCATTTGTTTTGTTTTTAAAATTCCTATACTATTTCCTCCCACTTCCTTTAAACCCCCCCCCCCCCCAAAAAAAAAAAGTTTTATCAGCAAAAAGCAGTAACAGGAAGCATTCAGCTTCTTTACACACACACTACAGTTAAGCACCCGGGCTGCTCTGCTCTTGTATGGGATGCAAGCATTCACCTGCCACACAGTGAGTGTCCATCTAGAGCACAGTGAGTGTCCGCCTAGATAGAGCACAGTGACTGTCCACCTATATAGAGCACAGTGAGTGTCCACCTAGAGCACAGTGAGTGTCCGCCTAGATAGAGCACAGTGACTGTCCACCTAGATAGAGCACAGTGAGTGTCCACCTAGATAGAGCACAGTGAGTGTCCACCTAGATAGAGCACAGTGAGTGTCCACCTAGAGAACAGTGAGTGTCCACCTAGGTAGAGCACAGTGAGTGTCCACCTAGATAGAGCACAGTGAGTGTCCACCTAGATAGAGCACAGTGAGTGTCCGCCTAGATGGAGCACAGTGAGTGTCCACCTAGAGCACGGTGAGTGTCCACCTAGATGGAGCACAGTGAGTGTCCACCTAGATAGAGCACAGTGAGTGTCCACCTAGATAGAGCACAGTGACTGTCCACCTAGAGCACAGTGAGTGTCCACCTAGAGCACAGTGAGTGTCCACCTAGAGAACAGTGAGTGTTCACCTAGAGCACAGTGAGTGTCCACCTATATAGAGCACAGTGAGTGTCCGCCTAGATAGAGCACAGTGAGTGTCCACCTAGATAGAGCACAGTGAGTGTCCACCTAGAGCACAGTGAGTGTCCGCCTAGATAGAGCACAGTGAGTGTCCACCTAGAGCACAGTGAGTGTCCGCCTAGATAGAGCACAGTGAGTGTCCGCCTAGAGCACAGTGAGTGTCCGCCTAGATAGAGCACAGTGAGTGTCCGCCTAGATAGAGCACAGTGAGTGTCCATCTAGAGCACAGTGAGTGTCCGTCTAGATAGAGCACAGTGAGTGTCCACCTAGATAGAGCACAGTGAGTGTCCGCCTAGAGCACAGTGAGTGTCCGCCTAGATAGAGCACAGTGAGTATCCACCTAGATAGAGCACAGTGAGTGTCCGCCTAGATAGAGCACAGTGAGTGTCCGCCTAGATAGAGCACAGTGAGTGTCCGCCTAGAGCACAGTGAGTGTCCGCCTAGATGGAGCACAGTGAGTGTCCACCTAGATAGAGCACAGTGAGTGTCCGCCTAGATGGAGCACAGTGAGTATCCACCTAGATAGAGCACAGTGAGTGTCCACCTAGAGCACAGTGAGTGTCCGCCTAGATAGAGCACAGTGAGTGTCCACCTAGAGCACAGTGAGTATCCACCTAGATAGAGCACAGTGAGTGTCCACCTAGATAGAGCACAGTGAGTGTCCGCCTAGATAGAGCACAGTGAGTGTCCACCTAGATAGAGCACAGTGAGTGTCCGCCTAGATAGAGCACAGTGAGTGTCCGCCTAGAGCACAGTGAGTGTCCGCCTAGATGGAGCACAGTGAGTGTCCACCTAGATAGAGCACAGTGAGTGTCCGCCTAGAGCACAGTGAGTGTCCGCCTAGATAGAGCACAGTGAATGTCCGCCTAGATGGAGCACAGTGAGTGTTCGCCTAGAGCACAGTGAGTGTCCACCTAGAGCACAGTGAGTGTCCGCCTAGATAGAGCACAGTGAGTGTCCACCTAGAGCACAGTGAGTGTCCGCCTAGATAGAGCACAGTGAGTGTCCACCTAGAGCACAGTGAGTGTCCACCTAGATGGAGCACAGTGAGTGTCCACCTAGAGCACAGTGAGTGTCCACCTAGAGCACAGTGAGTGTCCACCTAGATAAAGCACAGTGAGTGTCCACCTAGAGCACAGTGAGTGTCCGCCTAGATGGAGCACAGGGATTGTCCACCTGCAGAGGTAACAGGTTAGATTCCGTTTGTGCCCTCACTCCTGTCAGGCTCATCTGGCAGCTGTCCTCTGCGCTTAGTTCTATTTGGCTGAGAAAAAAAGCCTGTGGCTACTGAGCATGCCCAGTCCCTCAGGTAGGCTCCTCTTTACAAACTATGAAACCCCAAAGCAAAGACCTTGGTGTTGACCACATGTAAGAGGAAATGGGGAAGCGAAAGGAGATATGGGTGGGAACACCTAGGAACAGGTTTCGGAATACCTCCAGCAGTGCTGGGAGCCGCAGGGGTTAAAGGAAAGAAACAAGGGAGTGATTGTTAAGGCAGATTACTAAGTCACTAGACTGGGAGATCATAACGTCTCCACTGTTCATTCCTCCCTAACTTGCAAGTGCCCTCTCCAGTTTGAGCCTTAGTTTTCTTGACTGTTCAAGGAGGGGATTGAATAGGTGACAGATTTAAGATGCTTTCTGGTTCTGACATCCGGGATCTTTTCCCCCCATTGCCAAAGTTCATCATATTACAGTTAACTGCCTAGCACTCTCAAAGGGTTTTGATCATCAAATTTGGGAGATCATTGGAGAGATTCACTGTCTTTCTTTCTTTTTCTTTTTTCCCCTCCCTTTCCTCCCCCCCCTCCCCCCCCAACAACAACAACAAAAAAAAACACACCAAAAAAAACACCCAAAAGACAGATACCATTTACTGGTCAGCAGCAATGTGAAAGAGTCCCGCAGGGATCAGATTTCCCTTACCTTCCTCAGCACTGCAGGATTTTTTGAGAACCTCTTCTCCAAATGACCTTCCTTCTATCTTGTCCTCTTCGCCTTGTTTTACTCTCATTCCCTTTTTGGTCCGCAGTACTCATTAAAACTTTGGAGAAGTGGAAATCTTGGACTGAGTGGCTTTTGTCACTCTCAATGTAGAAAAGAGCATGTGGTGATCATTGGGTAGCACTCAAAGGCCTAGAAAATGGGTAAAGGTAGAAAGCTATTGAAGGAAGTTCCAAGTACAGAAAGTATGTCTATATACTTTTCCAGCAGAGTCTAAGAGGAAGAACAAGACAAAGACATTAGTCCAAAGGTTAGAGAATGCATGCTGCAGACATAGACATTAAGTTTTGTGGGGTGTTTTATTGTTGTTTTTCTTTACTATGGTATTTTAATGTATTAAGTGGAGAGTTTTTAAGGCTACATTATGTACCTCTGGAAACACATGCAATTCATGAAACTTCCCCAATGACAAGAGTTGCTTCTTCCACTTTGTGTCTCTTTATAAGACTATTGGAAGAGATGAGTAAATATTTGTACACTTGATAACACTCATTAAACTGGTATTTAAATCCATTCTTTAAGAAATGAAGTTTGCACATCAAAATTACTATCTTACAGTAATTTTTTTTATCTTACGTTAATTTTTTTTGCTAAAATTTTGTATAATTAATCAGTAAATGCAAAAATATGAATGATTGATTTTTGTGCTAGTTTGTCACTCTATGATGAAAGGCTACTTATCAGAATAAGATATTTATTGTCACAACGAGAAGATAACCAGATTGGTCTGATAGCCTAAAGGAGTGAACAGACTCTACAATGCATTACAGTGCCTACTAGTGGCCTCTGATAGCTAAGACATCATAATTTACTACAAAGAAGTGAAGGTGAGAAGAAAGCTTATGTTTAGCATTTTTAATTTTATATGTTTCTCTACTTGCCTTCTTTTACTACAGTTTTAATTACTAATTATGAAATTATTTTGCCATTTTTCTTTTAGACTCATTTCTGGGTAATCAAAAACCTAATTTTGAAAAGCTTAAGATTGGATATTTCTGATGTTCAAGTAAATTAACATGTTTGATAATTTATACTGATTTGGTTACAATTAAGTAAAAAAAATCAGAATTCTGAATTTTAAAATTTCAAAACCACATCAATAGACAGAAAGGTCCCAGTGAGGTTAAAATAATTTCCTATTGGAGTTAGCCCTATACTTATAATAGAGTTTCTCTGCACAGTAGTATATTACCTAATACCTAAACATGGAATCATTACTTAAAAAAAAGCTTAACAGAGATCAAACATATTTCTTTAGAGGCTTTTCCTTTATTCTCCCCTATTCTCCATAGATTTGTCTGATGTGGTTGCATTGTGGGTTGACTCACCTGTTTATTATGATTTAAAAGAAGGCTGGCTTTGAAAATGATACCAGAAAGACAAAGTACCTCCAAGTCTTTTTATGGGACACTGGGCATTAGAAAATCTATCTAAAATCTGTGATTACCTCTGAAGGAAAGTTTTTCATGTCTGCTCTTTGTGAAGGAATTAGCTTAGTTGCCACCTCATATTATAAATAAAAAAGACTTGTCAAATCTCATTTAAGAATCTAATGACTACAAATTACTATGTGGTATACTATTTCCTTGAGGAGAAAAAGGATCAGAATTTAAAAGTGTGGCTAAAGTCTTTAAGAGGGCACATACACAAAAAAAACACACATAACCCTTTCCCCATCAACCCTATGAGCCATTGCAAAATTATTTATACCAGGTTATGTATGAAGTTTTGGATGTTATTTAATAAAGTTGAAACTATCTAATAGGATTATTCTAAGAATGTGTAATTTCTGTCTTTTCATAATATCATATTTTTGACAAATAGCAATTTCTTAAGATGAGAATTAAAGTATAGGTGGTTTCAGTTTTTCAAGAAAAATAAATATAAGATCTGTTTTATAATTGGTCTATATATAAATGAAACATATTTTATTGTATTTTGAAAACTGGCTCTATTATGCATCCTAATCAGTTAATCAGTTCCTGTTCTTTGAAAGACAGGAGCATCTTAATGTAAATCAGACACTTAAATAAAATTAAGTTACATGTGAACCATGGTATCCTTTTCAATTTAAATTTAACATTCAATACAACTTCAAGTAATTACACATTTACAAGTATATCCTGGATGAAATTCCATTAACCTATCTGCTTCTACCAACATGATTTGGCCTGATATTTTTATTTCTAATATAAATTCATCCTTATTGAACTTGACAGCAAATTTAAAAAAAAATTTTTATTGATTTTTCACAGAGAGGAAGAGAGAGGAATAGAGAGTTAGAAACATCGATCAGCTGCCTCTTGCACACCCCCCACTGGGGATGTGCCCGCAACCAAGGTATATGCCCTTGACCAGAATCGAACCTGGGACCCTTCAGTCTGCAGGCCAACGCTCTATTCACTGAGCCAAACCGGTTTTGGCATTGACAGCAAATTTAATTGCCATTTATTCCCTACCTCTAAAGTTGTCATTATAATGGCTGTTCTATGGCGTCTGTGTCTTCCTGCTATGTCTTCTCTTCTCTCTGCCTTAGGGAGATTGACTCTTTTAAGCAACTTATAGTCTATTTAGGAATGTATTGTTGTTGTAAAATCCTTGATGGCTCTAGTATTCTAAATGATCTTCTAATAGTTTGAAAGCATTCATTTGGGCTCTTAAGAATCTACATGAAAGCTTAAGAATCTGCATTTTTGCCAAAGAATGTAGTAGGCTCTGGACAGAATAGAGCCCTCTGTATAGGCAAATAACTAGATTTTGAAATTTTCCTTGGACTTGGGAACATCTTGTGACCAAATAGAAACTTGCACAATAGTAAAAAATGACTTAAAAAGCAAGACTCAGGCTAAATGGTGCACATTCACACTGTTTGTAGAGCTTAAGAGGGGGTGAATGGGTAAGGGTAGAAAGCTATTGAAGGAAGGAAGTTCCAAGTACAGAAAGTATGTCTATATACTTTTCCAGCAGAGTCTAAGAGGAAGAACAAGACAAAGACATTAGTCCAAAGGTTAGAGAAAGCATGTTGCAGACATAATCATTGTTTTGTGGTTGTTGTTTTTTTTCTTTATATTGTATTTTAGTGTATTAAGTGGAGAGTTTTTAACACCAGTTTACCTTCTGGTAAATGAAAGTAATTTCAGAAAATTATTAATAGAAAATTGATTTGCATGCTAAATTCTTGATATTTGGCTATCACATTTAATGAATTATAAAGTGTTTTTTTTATTTATTTGAACTATAAAATTTACTTTTAAAAATCATGTAACAGAAAATAGCATATTATGTAAAGTTTGAAACTACTGTATTGTCTTCAAGAAACAGTGTCCTGAAGTAGAAACATTGGATTAAGGTTCAGAAGTGTGAGTTCAAGTATTACAGATGTCATGTCCTTGGGCAAGTCAGTAAACCTCCTTGAGCCTCAGTTTCTTTATCTGTAAATGGGATGATAATATCTCCATACCTATGCTAGAGGACTGTTTTTGAGGACCAGATAGAAAATGTAAATAGAAGATTCTCAATAAACTATAAAATACTAACATACCCATACAAGTTATACTGGTTGCAGCTAGAAAAAGATTGACTTGACTCACGGCATGCAGAAAAACCCACACAAAAACACAAACCCCCACAAAAGCATAATTAATAGGACATGATTATAATTAACTAATGAGATCACAGAGAGCTAAGAACACCTCTATTATATACTAATTTATGGTCATAATAGCACCCATTTGTAGAATGCCTAATGTGTGTTCTAGCTCTTGCCTCTCTCTTGTAGGGAGGCATTTCCCTCAATTTGCATATGAGGAAACTGAAGTTCAAAGAAGACAAATGATTTGCATAGTTCAAATAGCCAGTGAATTACTGAACTGGCATGCAAACACAGGCCAGTCTGGTTTAAGGTGTTATACCCTTTATGTTATGCAATGATGAGATTATTTTCTTTTTTGTTTTTCCCCATCTATAAAATGGGAGGGCCATCAGGATAAGACAGTTATATAGCACTTTCCAGTTACATAGGTCTATCACATACCTAATTATATTTATATTTAGCAATATTGGTGTACTGCTGTTTGGAAGATTTTCATTAGTCACATGTTCATTAATAAACACAAATGATTATTTTGTTTATAAATTTAGGTATCCTGGAATTCATCAGTGTGGCAGTGGGACTGGTCAGTATTAGAGGTGTGGACAGTGGTCTCTACCTTGGAATGAATGACAAAGGAGAACTCTATGGATCAGTATGTATTATTTTTTTAATTATGTGATTCATAAAACAATGACTATCAATTTTGTAAGTAAAATGTCTACTGATAATGCATTTCAGAAGAAATATATCTATGTACAAATTAAAGTTTTATATTCAGATATGTTTCTATGTGTCTGGGCAATGGTATAGCAGCTCAGTTTTATTTTCTAAAGCTTAAACACTAATGCTTTCAGTTCACTAGGCTTTCCAGCCATTATCTTAGGTCTTTTTACTTTTCTTCATCTTTTGGTCATTCCCACCAGAGATGAAAATGAGAGCATTTTCTTTCTGCCCTGTTAGATTCTTTTTGTCTTTACATTCCTTTAATGTATAATTTCTCTACTCGTTATCATCCTCTATAGTTAAGTATAGATCACTTGCTATCTTTGTTTTATTCTTTTAAAATATATTTTTATTGATTTCAGAGAGGCAAAGAGAGGGAGAGAGAGATAGAAACATCAATGATGAGAGAGAGTCATTGATTGACTGCCTCTAGTACGTCCCCCACTGGCGATGGAGCCCACAACCTGGGCATATGCCCTGACCAGGAATTGGACCATGACCTTCTGGTTCATAGGTTGATGCTCAACCACTGAGCAACACTGGCCATGCCAAAATCACTTCTTAAAGTCAAAGTCTCTAACTAGTTACAATGACAATTTACTCTTTATGATATAGCTGTTGGGACTGTCTAGTATCTTTTTTCCCTTAAAATCTCAACTGAGACCATATGTACAATTAGAATCTCCATATATATGGCAACATTGGTTATAATATTTCAGTAAGTGGCATTCCACTTATTTTTGTCCTTCATAAGAGCAAACCTTGCTCTGTTCAGAAGCGAAATACTACATGTGTAATAACCACAAGAGTAGAATTACAATGGAAGGAAAAAAACATGCACATAATTTTCCTTTTTCATGTATATGTTGTATTAAAAAAGTCAACTGTGGCCCACCTCTTAGAATAATATACAGTCCATCTTGGAGAGACAAGAAATCACTGGGCTTTTACTGCATTTACCTAAAAGTAACATCCATATCAAAGTTAGTCATGGAGAATGTATTAACAAATAATTAACAAATTCATAAAATGAATATATATGATTTGGAGTGATGATCTTAAATTAGAAATTTGGATGTTAGCAAGATCTTAAAGTATTTCAAGATGTAGTAGAGATTTTCTACGTAGAACTTTGACTTCTAATGATGGAACAACATAAACTACAGGCCTCTTCGGTGGTGATGGTAGGAGGAGGTAAATAAAATGGAGCATGAGAAGGTTCAGAATATTTTTCTAAGTATTTGAAAATAAAATTGGAAATTGACATGAAACAAAGTTCTTTGAATTGAACTTCTGGAAGAAAGAATTCCAAGTTATATAATAACTAAAGCAAAATAAAATAAAAACATCTTTCTCCTTCCTTGGCAAGGATATAAGAATAGGCAAAGAACTAAGAAGATAGAGTTGAAACTTTTCTAAAAAAAAAAAAGAAAAAAATACTTTCAAAGGTTTTCTTTCTTTTTTTAATGGCAGTTATCTTCTCTCTTTTAGGAGAAACTGACTTCTGAATGCATCTTTAGGGAGCAATTTGAAGAGAACTGGTATAACACTTATTCATCCAACATATACAAGCATGGAGACACTGGCCGCAGGTATTTTGTGGCGCTTAACAAAGACGGAACTCCAAGAGATGGTGCCAGGTCCAAAAGACATCAGAAATTTACGCATTTCCTGCCAAGACCAGTGGATCCAGAAAGAGTTCCTGCATTGTATAAGGACATTCTAATATACACTTAAAGTGTAAATTGTGTCTTTACTGAAGAACCAAATTGCAACCATTTTTTCTTGTTATATAATGTTTCCAGTGTAAAATAATAACCCAGGAAGACATTCAGAATGTTTCAGAGCCTATTTTCCACTCAGAGACTGAATTTGGAAAGAATATTAAGAACAAACAAAAAAACTTTGACAACATGGTTCAAGATCTCTATAAATGGATTAAGTTCCCTTACAGACATTGACTCAGTCATTGATGGTTGATTGAAGCTGAGAATCTATAAAACGTGGATGATGGGAACCCCACCTAATTTGCTGCTCTGGTGCCTCACCTCTCTGGATAATGTTTACTTTAAAAGTTACATTAAAAATAGATACTTCATGTTGAAGAAATGGATTGACATGGTTGGCCAGGATTACTGCTACATATATTTTAAAGACCTTGAAGGATTTTGCAGGTTATGTAAAAAATGCTATGTAAAAAACCTGGGCGTAACGTGGACTATGAAACATGCACACCAAGACGGAACATTATTTTAAAAAGGATGGACCTATTTATACATTTTCAATTTTCAAATATTTATTATATATTTATTTATTAAAGAGTTTATTTTTTACTGGTATATGAAGATATTACAAAGAGAAAAAACAACAACAACAAAAATTCATTTATTGTGCCATTATTTTGTTGTAGTATCTTTGTCTGTAAAGAAGACATCATTATTACAACAATTAAACATAGGATAAAATCTTGAGTTACTTTTTTAAAATAAAGTAGAGCATAGATTATATTTTTTGCAGTCAATTGCCTTCTAAATGTAACATTGGTTCTTTTGACCTAGAAAAATGCTTTAACAATTTGTACTGAATTCAACACACATCCGAAAGGAAATTAAACATTTTTAATTTTTTGTTTTGGTTTCATTCCTTTTTGGGTGAAAGTTATTCTACTTGTATAACATAATAATTTAAATGACAAAATTTTAATTTCCCTAGAAAAAAGCCTCTAGTACTTAGAGAACTTCTAATGTTGAAATTTATCAAACATTATGGACAACTTACGTATTTTCTTGATTCAATGTGAAAAGAACATTTCTTTTCCTACTGCGATCACAGAAAGAATTAATCTTAGTGGTATCACCACTAACAATGGTAAGGCTCCATCTACACTGAGTATCCAGATTATTATGATCTCTGAACACATAACAATCTGGCCACTCAATATATATATATATTTAGTGTGTAGATAGATAGATAGATAGATAGATAGATGTGTGTGTGTGTATGTGTGTGTATGGAGAGAGAGAGAGGCCCAGTGCATGAATTCGTGCATGGGTGAGGTCTGGCCAACTGGGCCAGGGGGAGGGGACATGGGCAGTTGGCTGGCTTGCCTGCTGGTCGAATTCCTGGTTGAGGGGACAATTTGCATATTAGCCTTTTATTATATAGGATATACATAGAGTGGCCAGATTATTATGTGTTCAGAGATCATAATTATCAGTGTATGTATCTGAGCTTGGTATCTTTTCCATAGTAGCTCCTATTTAATAATTTATCCAGTAAATATCCATTGAAACCTGTTATACAGAAGATACTGTTAGGCACAATGTAGTGATCAAGGCAGATAGGCCCTGCGTCACGGAGTTTAATGTCTAATAAGAAAATAGATGGTGAATAAACAAGCTAACAAATACCATAATTGTGAATTGTGACATGCTCTATGAGGAAAAAAGGATCAGACACAGGGAAAAGAGAACACAGTTTGATAGGATGAGTTAGAGAAAGTGTCGCTAAAGAGGTGGTGTTTTTAATGGGTCCTAAAGGATAAGAAAGAGCCAGACAGTTGGACATCCTAAGAGGAGAATAAGAGTCTTACTAGAAGAGAAGACAGTGAATGTGGAGTCCCAAAGGCAAGAAGGAGCTTTGTGGCTAGAGCTTTGTGGGAGCGTGGCACAGGTGAGTTTAGAAAGGTATGTAGATATAAATCCTGCAGATTCTTAGGGGCCTTTCTGAGGTCTGTTCATTTCAATGTCAATGTCACTACTCTTAGATGAGCAATCATCAGTGGGGATGTGGTAATGATAATGGTAGAAGCTGCCACCTGTTCCCAAGCTGCAAGTCCTGGTAAAACACAGATTGCTGGGCCCCGGCTGAAGAGTTTCTGACACGTTGGTCTTGGGTTGGACCTAAAACTTTGTATTTTAACAGGTTCTCAGGTAATGATGCTATTGGCTGGAGATGATACTCTGAGAGCCACTAGTTTAGTGTAGTGTTTCTCAAACTTTACAGAACTCACAAAATCAACTGCAGGATCTTGTTAACGGATGGATTTGCTCATCTATGTCAGGAGGAGAAGAAAAAGATAAGAAATACACATATTATGCCGAAACTGGTTTTGCTCAATGGATAGAGCGTCGGCTTGGGGACTGAAAGGTCCCGGGTTCGATTCCGGTCAAGGGCGTGTACCTTGGTTGCGGGCATGTCCCCAGTGGGGGGTGTGCAGGAGGCAGCTGGTCGATGACTCTCTCTCATCGATGTTTCTGACTCTCTATCTCTCTCCCTTCCTCTCTGTACAAAATCAATAAAATATATTAAAAAAAAAGAAAAAAAAGAAATATACATATTATTTCTAACACTGTCCCAGATGCTCTTTGATGCTGCTAGGCCACGGACCATACTTTGAATGGCAAGACTGGCTGTTGCTTTAATGCTCTGGAGTTATTCCTATTTGTTTATCCTCCAGTTGCTTAAATAAATTAATGGTGATATGTGGGGTGAGGGTAGGAAGTTTTACACATGACTTCAATAAAGCTACATGGGAATGTGTATGCATTGGGGGAGTTGTGTGTGTGTCTACTTGAGTGTATTCAGGGTGAGAGAGACAGATGAAATGTCTTAGCTCGAAACCTTTTGGTTTTATGAATGGAAAAAAGAATAAAGATGGTTTAATAATCTCTAAGACAAAGTAATTCCTACTTTTTCTAGTGCTAGAATTTATCCCTATTGTAGGACAATAAAGGTATGATTCTGTCCAAATGAAGTCAAACTAGATTGGTGACCAAAGTTAATAGGGATCTAAAAAATGTATTTGCTACATCAGTGATCATGGATTACTAAAAGGTTGGTTTAATGTTCATCTCTATTTTAGACTAGTCAAATATGGGGTAATTGGTGGGGTTATTATCAGTTCTTTCAACGCCCTTGTTATGTAATTTGGTAGGATCCTGTTGTACTTTGGTAATATTTGCAATTGTGATATATAGTTGTTCTAGAGGCTCCCACGTGGTATGCCCAAATGTTTGGGTCCTATTCTTTAACCTTTTGAAAGTTCTTTTCATTCCTAGAATTGCAATAAGTCACTTGCAATTACACAATCAGGGGAAGGAGATGTCACTTCAGGAAAACTTCTTTGGTCTTCTGTATCCAGCAGTTATCACATCCATATCCTTCGATAGTCGAAATGATTTCTCTACCTATATTCTAGTTTCCCAGAATTAATGTTATTTTTGATCCTGTATCTAAAGGTCCCTGAGATTCTTGAATACTATCCTTTGTTCAAAACAGGACTTTCCAGGCAGATCTCACATTATAATGGACCTGCTTGCATGTTAAGGACTTTGGGGCAATTTGTCCTTCCCTTTGAAAGACTGGGTCTGATCTCCAGACTTTAGGGCCAGGCTTCTTAAATTAAGGGAGATCAAAAGAAATCAAAGGAAACGCTTTGGAAGTTGTTCTTTGTTTTTCATGTGTAGGGAGTTTATCCTTAAGATTTACAAAGTCCTTGTCTCAGTGTTCCCTCTCTTGGCTCAGCTCCCAGTGATTTTGAAGTGGCTTGTTGCTATCTGTGCAGAGGGTTTGCCAAGGTTGTTGCTATGGCTGCTGTGCCAGCAAGTTCAGTTGATTCTTGTGTCCTATTGATTGCCTGTGAATCTTAGCAACTTGCCAGTGTTCCTCTTATAAACTTGGGAAAGTTCTCCCAAATCTAATAACTCTTTGTCTTAGCCCACAGTTGCGCAGACAACAACCCTAGTCCAAATCCAAATCTTTCCATTAGCCAGTTCTCCAGAAATTTCCCATGAAATTCATGTTTTCATGGAAAGCTATTGGGAGGAAGAAACAGAACCCTTTGAATGAGACCGAAGATGCCCATTTCTTTGCATTTCAGCATAATGACAATTATCTGAGTCTTTGGGCTCTCCTATCCTGTTGGTCAGGATGACAGTTATTAGAAATTCTTCCTTTCTAGCCAAAACCGGTTTGGCTCAATGGATAGAGCGTCAGCTTGGGGACTGAAAGGTCCCGGGTTCGATTCTGGTCAAGGGCATGTACCTTGGTTGCGGGCATATCCCCAGTAGGGGGTGTGCAAGAGGCAGCTGATCGATGACTCTCTCTCATCGATGTTTCTAACTCTCTATCTCTCTCCCTTCTCTCTGTACAAAATCAATAAAAATATATATATATAATATATAAAAAAGAAATTCTTCCTTTCTAAACTTTGGATCCCATTTATCAGTTTTCCATGACTATGGTTGCTCCACCACTCCTTGCAAACCAGCCCATGTTGGTTTCCACAAAGCATTAATTTCAAAGAAATTCCCACTGTTCCTCCTCACATATTGTATTCACTATCTCTCTCACTTTTTTTTAGTGCTAAAATATACATAATATTGCCCTAACTGGTTTGGCTCAGTGGATAGAGCGTTGGCCTGCGGACTGAAAGGTCCCAGGTTTGATTCTGGTCAAGGGCATGTACCTTGGTTGTGGGCACATCCACAGTAGGAGGTGTGCAGGAGGCAGCTGATCAACGTTTCTCTCTCCTTGATGTTTCTAACTCTCCATTCCTCTCCCTTCCTCTCTGTAAAAAAAAAAAAAAAAAAAAAAAAAAAAAAAAAAAAATCAATAAAGTATATACATAATATTTTAAAACGTACAATTCCATGTCATTTAAGTACATTTGCATTGTGGTGTGACCATTTGCAGGTAGCACAGACTCTTGGGATAGTGATGTTTGCTGAGACGCTATGGACAGGAAAGGCAATTCATATCTAGAAGGTCTGTTCCTAATTCAGTCTCAGAGCTTTTCAGTGTAGAAGGGGCTCAGGGTAGACAACTTGCCATCAAGTGGACAGATAGTCTCCTTAACAAATGGTGCCACATAAGCACTCAGTGTTGTTCTTTGTTGCTACCCATTAATCCTTATTATATATATTCTAATTTGAGGCAACTTCTTTTTATCATGCAGAGTAGATGAGATGCACTGTCCCAAACAGGAAGATTCCCCCTGAGTTAGGCTGTAGTGGTTTGGATCTACACTCTGAGAAGACTTATCTGTAAACAAATTTGGGTATTTTCATACTTTATCAGCTAATCCTCAGAGATGCCCCTTCTGGGCCATAGGATTGAGCTGAGGAAGAGGTGCCAGTGTAGCCACAGTGGATGAAAGGAGTCTGAGTTATCTGAATTGATGAATAATGAAAAATTCAGCTCATGTGGAAAATTATAGCCATATGATCCCTTGGTATCCCATAGTCAAGCTTTCAATTTTTACCATAGCTCAGTACCACGACAGAACTTGCAATTCAAAAGCCATATATTCACTATTGCAAATTGTATGTCCTTGCTCTAGTACCCCAGGGACCAATGTTGTGATTTTCCCACCGTGACTTCTCATACATTCTACATAGTATCTTTTCCTTCCCCTGATACCTATGATACCAGAGGGTCTGTTGGCTATAGTGGCAAGATACCGTGATGGTGATGGTGGTGGCGGTGGT